AAATTTGACTATAAAAATGATTAATTTGACCGATGTTTGAAATTGTTGGGATCATTTTGGTTTTGCAATTTTTAAGAGACTAAACTGGTAAGATCGAAAATCATGAAGAACTGAAATATGTATTTACTCTTAAATTTTTAATGTGTTGTCAAAATTTTATTGGTTGTCTTTATTTATATATATATATATATACATACATGTATCCACGCACATCTTTCTCCTTTATTTTATTCTCCATATTCTCTCATTCATAAATTCACTAAAAAAGTAATGTAAAAATGAACCAGAATCATGGACATCTTAAAAATAACACGAGGAGTGCCTAAAATCAAGATCCAATCCATAAACCCAAAAAAATGATGTAGACTATTCTATTAAATTGAGATAAAGTTATCATGAGATAAAATTAAAATGAGATAGAAAATATATTACAAATTTGATAATTTTTTATTGAGATGAACATCCCATATTTAATACAATTATATTAACTATTTATTTTTGGGTTAAAAAATAAGTGATATAATTCTAACAATTCATATGACTTCTAAAACTAATAATAAATATGAGCTTAATCAGTGGATACCAAATGAGAGTGTTAGAAATTCATAATTTCTAATTAAGATGAATATCATATATTTAATATAATATAATTATATCGGTTATTTATTTACATTGTTAGAAATTCATAGTTTCTAATTAAGGTGGACATCATATTTTTAATACAACTATATCAACTATTTATTTTTGGGTTACAAAACAAGTGATCTAATTCTAACAACCTATAGAACTTCTAAAACTAATAACAAATATAATATTAATGAGTGGATACACAAACGGTTAGCCTATAGGGGATAATGAGAACCCTATAAGTTAACGCATAAGAAACAACTATCATTAAAGCTCCCCATATTTCAGCTAATTTTCAACTCATACATTAACTATTCTGATAGTCCCTAAGACACCAAATCACAAACAATTTTCACCTCTACTCATTAGATAGAAAATAAATGTCCCAAAAGGAATTCAGGATTTGGTTGAGGAATACCATCGTACCAAAACTCTCTCCAAATGTATACAAAAAGTAATAGATATGAGAAACACAAATTTATATATGATTTTGTATCCTTATTTTATATTATCTGTGAGAATCATGAGATTCAATATCCTAAAATTAGTATTTGATCGATCATAATTTTTTTTTATCAAAGTAACATTTTGCAATTCATTCATATGTATAGCAACTTTTTTAGTAGATCCAAAGTAGTTATGTACCAAACAAGGATCAAAGACTAGGTCCATTATTTTAACAACAAAAATATTTGATAAAGAATAATAGAGAAGTAGAATGATGAATTGAAGAAACTGACCCACATGTCTATTTATAAGAAATAAAAGTGAATGTAATAATAGGGGAAAATTGTGAGAAATATTAATATGAGAAATACCAATTATGATTATCAAATATATATACAGATTAATTCTTATTGATTTGATGAATGGAGTCATAATCGTTCCTCATGTACTACTAACATATAGAGTTTTTATTATTTTCAATAAGCCAACATGAATATTTAGTCATTAAGTTCTTATTAGTTTAAGTTTATAGAACTAAAACATATTATCAAGATTAGATCGCTTATTTTATAACTCTTTAAATAAATAGATAATATAATTATATTAAAATATATGATTCTTAAATATTAATTATAAATTATAAATTTTTAACAAAGTCACTCTTGGACATTAAATTTTTCCAAAACAATTATATTATATTTTTCTTGGGAGCGTATTTGTATGTAATTCATCTTCATATATAAGCTATGGTACAATCCCAATCAAACATGACTTGTTAGAATATTAAGGGTCATTTGGAGTGTGAAATGAAAAAACCTCTAAGTCTTTGGGTGTGGAAATACTTCGAGTGTTTATAAGCATTGAATGCACACTTGGGTATACTCCAAGGGATATAAAAGTTTTGTGGTGGGTGACAACATACATAATCAAAACTCCCACACGTGCGGCACCACCATCACTACCACCTCCCCACCGTCCGGGCGACTCGGCTCATGTTCAGATCGAGCTTGGACTTCGACCCATTGAATTTTTTTGGGACATGTTGACTATGTCAACACACGCTTGACACACATGTTGACCAAGTCAACACACGTTACCTGAACTTAAAGGATGATGAGAGAGACCTGGTCAATATGGTCGTTGGCTTCATCTTGACCGTCAAAACAATGCGGCCTTTGTGATGAGATATTTTTCTAGGTCTTCGAATTGATGCGACCATTGTGGCTCTCCGCCTATATATAGAGGTGTCCCCTATTCAGAGAAAATACAACAATTGAGATGCATTTTCTCAACTTTTCTTCTCTTCGTCTTTACCGAATCATTTTTGGCTCCCTTCTCCTTATTTATTTCCATGGTACGAGAATTGGCAAGCGTAGGCATATTGTGGGAAATTCGTGAATTGACAATGGTTGTCATACTGTGGGGAATTCGGAAATTCGAGAATCAACACTAGTAACCATATTATTGGTATTTTGAGAATTAACATTGATTGTCATATTATGGTCTAATCGAGATCCGTTCTTATAATGCACTGAGAATATTAAACAAAGAACTGTAATGTTTTTATCTTGGGACGATGTGGTTAATAGTCTGCTTGCACATTTTTTAGCATTTCCATGAAATGTTTTAAAAAGCGACATGGTCATGACTCAGCTAATAATAAATCTTCTGTGCCCATAATTAATTATTGCAAACCGTTTACAACATGACTATACTACCATGATCAGTATATTAAAATATTTAATGATATAAATCAAACACAAATGAGTGACATGAAAATTACCTGCAATGTGATCTCATAGCTATTTTTTCCAACTGACCCTTCTTTAGTATTTAAGAAGATCAATCCACAATCTTTAATTATAACACAAAAGCTAACTTAGATATCATGCCATTACCCATTGGATCAGATAGTATAATATTTGTTGTTATATGTTATATGGAAATCTCTTTACTTTTAAGCAATTTCTTTAACAATCGGAAACTTGATGTCAATGAACTTTAACTCTACAGAACTTGTATTGTTAAACAAAACAATTGCAGAGTTGTTGTCACAACAAATTTTCCATGACATTTTAATATCATCAACCACATGTAAGTCAATAACTAAATTGCAACCATATTCCAGAACATATCTCAAAACAAGTCATGAAATCTACAACTATAATTGAATGAGCTATGGATATTTGTTTAACAAACTTTCAAAAACATAGCACATTCATCCAATATATCTTATTTTTTATATTACTTTTTATGTTTTTACGTTTTAACATGTGTTGTCAAGCAAAATCCAAAGAACATACATCAATTATATAATGGATATTGGTTTCCAAGGATACTATTCCCAACATCTAATGTTAGTATTAATTGACAAAAGATGCCTCAATCTTTATTACAAATTATTTTAGTTTATTTCCATTTTACATATGAGATAAGTTTAGCTTAAATCAAATTGTCTTAATAAAGTATATAAGTCTTAGTATATAAGTTTCCATTTCATTTATTCGAACCTGAACTAGACCCGATCCCGATCGTAACTCAATATGCAATACATGGGGCAAAATCGACCAACCTGATATTTTAATAAAGTATATAAGTTTTAACATTATGCACAACTAAATTATAAAATAAAATAGAAAGACATTATCCTAAGTCCAAAGTACATTTAAAAATGTATATATAAAATAACTAATATCAATATACTTAACGATTTAAGCAATATTTGGGATTGAATAGATCTTGTCTATACATTGAACCCATCAATAGGGGATGACAATAAAAACAGAATCCGAAGGTATCCATCCGAACCCAACCCGAATTTAACGGAGAAACCTCGATGTGACTGATTCCGGATCCAGGTTTTACCCGAGCTCCATGTAACGCCTCAAATTTCGTGTTCGGAGTGATTAGAAAAAGTAGAGTGTTGGAGTATATATTGAGAAATCCTCGTTTGAGCGAGAGTATCTCGCCCGAGAGAGAGACTCAATGTTCTAATATGAGTTTTCCGGAGACCTCGCTTAAGCAAGGAAGTGGTCACTTGAGTGAGAGAGAAATCTGGAAAAGTTGTAAAATTCTAGCTTGAGCTATAATTTTCGCCCTGGCTAGAGAGGAGCCTTAGCAGGCTGCCTGATTCTCGCCCAAGCGAGAAATCAGCGTCCGGGCGAGAGCGTCAAAGTTGAAAAGTTGAAAAGCTGCGAAATTCTCACCCAAGCGAGCCATTCTTGCCCGGGCGAGGCTGCACAGCTATGAAAGTAAAAGAGGGGTTTTAAAAACCCAAATCTTCATTTTCTTTCTCCTCCTTTCTCTCCCAACGGCGGCTCCACCCAAATCAACCATTCTCTCCTCCACTAATCCTCAAAACTCATCAAAACCTCTTCCTCTTACTTCTTAGTGGCACATTGGAGGGCTTTGGCGGTGAAAATGGAACATTGGAGATTGAAGGAGATGAAGGGAGATGTGGCTCTTTGGCGGAGCAACGGAGTTTACGCAACCTAAGGTGAGGGAGAAGACCATTGTGGTCTTAGATTATTTCATTAGAGTCATCTTCTCCGATTTCTCTAAAAAATCGGAGAATATTAACGGGTAGAAACTCTCTTGGAAGTTTGTGGTCCATGTTAGAGTCTTTATTTTCCATGAAGATGTATTAGCCATATGGTAATACATCATCATGAGAAATGGTTCTATCGTTAATATGTTGTATGATGATAAATATGTTATGAGTTGTTTATTGTGATAAAAAGATATGAGTATATTTATGATAATGACTAAGTTGTGAGTCGCTTATTTGTTATAAATATATATGGATATGTTTGTAATAATGATTGTGTTATGAGCTGTTTAATGGCAATAAATGGACATGATTATGTTGTATGATAATGATTGTGTTGTGAGTTGTTTGTATGTAGTAAAGAATGGGATGAATATGAATATTAGCGCTTTTCTTCTAGTATTCAAGGCTCTTTATTTTGGGGGTATATATGATACCTGGGCTCCAGGGGGGGAGATGTAAGAAAAATTACCAATTTGACCCTTAGTCCATGTATTATATTTGGTTATTTACTAAAATCACCTTTTGGAGGAGAAGGGTGGATTGTTAGTGTGGACGATTTGGAAGATATAATTGGAGGGCATGTATGGCTCGGTTCCATTTGTATATTTGGTGGAATCTGGCATATCTTAACCAAACCTTTTGCATGGGCTCGGCGTGCACTTGTATGGTCTGGAGAAGCTTACTTATCTTATAGTTTAGCTACATGGTTGGTTGTGGGTATTATGGTGTGATGTGATGAAAAGAGAAGTGTTAAATTGTATATAATGATAGAGAATGCGTGGATTTTCTGATTGTATATGGATTGTAAAGTAACGGAAAGAAAACCTATTTTTAACTCAAGAGGTTGAGTAATGACTGACTTGCCCTTCGTGATATTGGCTATTCGTAGCGATGACTGACTTGCCCTCCGTGGTATTGACTCTTTGAGCAATGACTGACTTGCCCTTCGTGGTATTGGCTATTCATGGCAATGTCTGACTTGCCCTTCGTGGTATTGGCTCTTTGAGCAATGACTGACTTGCCCTTCGTGGTATTGGCTCTTTGAGCAATGATTGACTTGCCCTTCGTGGTATTGGCTATTCGTAGCAATGACTAACTTGCCCTTCGTGGTATTGGCTCTTTGAGCAATGACTGACTTGCCCTTTGTGGTATTGGCTATTCATAGCAATGACTGACTTGCCCTTCGTGGTATTGGCTCTATGAGCAATGACTGACTTGCCCTTTGTGGTATTGGCTATTTGTAGCAATGACTGACTTGCCCTTTGTGGTATTGGCCTTTATGGCAATGATTGACTTGCCCTATGTGGTATTGGCCTTTGTGGCAAAGACTGACTTGCCCTATATGGTATTGGATCGTTGTACAAGTATTGTATTATTTTAGAAGTGTTGTATTGCTTTGAAAATTTAGTGTACCGCCTTTGGGTATGGGATTATTGTTGGGTATTTGTCAGTAACTATGGTAATAGGAATCTTGATGAAGATGGAATTGGATAAATCGTTTAAGTAAATTGTTGTGCAATGGCTCATATTCAATGGACCGAGCCTCTTCTCATCATAACAACAATACAAGTTATGGGCTTGGGCTGATGTAAAGGGTTGGGGTAGAGGGCTATATATTTATGTTATGTAAATCTAATGTAATAAAGGAGAACACTAGCTAAACACAAATCCTTATTCTCTAATAATATATAGTGGTAGCCTCTCAAAGCTCTCGGGGACGTATGCACAATTGGCCGAATCTCGTTACCAAATTCCTTGTGTTATTCTATTCTCTTTTACTATTTGATTGATCGCTTGTTCCCGACAATTAGTATCAGATGACTCTTAACCCAAGTGCCAAATTCGAGGTGGGGAAGTTTGATGGAACTAGTAATTTCGGATTGTGGCAAAGGAGGGTTAAGGATGTGTTGGCTTAACAAGGTCTACCAAAGGCGCTGCGTGAGAATAAACCAGATGGTATGGACCAACTGGATTGGGAAGAGTTGAAGAAGAAGGCTGCAGGAACCATACAACTCTGTCTATGAGATGAGGTGATGTATCATGTTATGGATTTGACGTCACCAACAGAGGTATGAGAGACATTAGAGAAGCGGTTCATGTCCAAGTCTCTAACAAATAAGCTGTATTTGAAACAGAGACTTTATGGCCTGAAGATGCAGGAGGGTACTGATTTGCAACGACATCTCAAGACTTTTAATCAAGTGATTAATGACTTGCAGAAACTTGACGTGAAGGTTGATGATGAGGACAAAGCAATAATACTACTATGTTCTTTGCCAAATTCCTATGAACACTTGGTGACAACATTGACATACGGGAAAGACTCAATCAAACTGGATGAGATCACATCTGCACTTCTGTCCCACACTCAAAGAAGACAGAATGTAGGAGAAGGGTCTCATGGTGATGGTCTGTATGTGAAAGGGAGCCAAGCACGTGGGAAGAGACAAGGCAGAGTAGGTCCTGCCAAAGGGAACAGAGCAAATTCCAGGGGCAGAACACCAGTAGAGTGCTTTAGATGTAAACAGACTGGGCATTAAAAAAAGGATTGTCCCGATGAATGGAGTCCTAGCAAGCTGGTGGGGAAAGATAGAGTATCTACATCTGCAAATGTTGCACAGAAAGATGACTCTGGTTACAACAGTGAAGCTGATCTACTATCTGTATCATCAAATAATAGCACAGATGAGTGGATACTTGATACTGGTTCACCACATACAGGGCGGGTAATTTTGGTTTTGTGTATCTTAGAAATAATAAAGCATGTGGAATTATTGGCATGAGACAAATCAAAATTGTCATGGATGATGGTGCAGTGAAGACGTTATGTGAGGTTACCCACATACCAGTTTTGAAGAAGAATTTGATTTCTTTGGGGTCATTGCAGGCCAAAGGATTTAGCTATAGAGCTGATGGAGATAGTGATATTCTTCGAGTATGCAAAGGTGTTATGACTGTGATGAAGGGCAAGAGGACTGTTGGGAACACCTACAAGCTGTTAGGGAGAACAGTTGTAGGTGGAGTTGCTAGAGTGGCTGAAGATATTTCAGTAGATTCAGACCATGATGCTACAAAATTATGGCACATGCGTTTGGGTCATATTAATGTGTGTGGCATGATAGAACTATGCAAAAGAGGAATGTTGAGGGGAGTCAGCAAATGCAAGCTAGATCTATGCAAGTATTGTGTGTTTGGGAAACAGACGCGAGTTAGTTTCAAAGCTGGCCAACACAGAACTCGGGGCATTTTAGACAATGTTCACACTGATGTATGGGGACCCACTCAGGAACCATCCCTAGGAGGTTCTAGGTACTTTGTTACCTTCATTGATGACTTTTCTCGCAAGGTTTGGGTATATTTTCTGAAGCATAAGTCAGAAGTCGTTTGCCAAGTTCAAGGTTTGGAAGGTAGAAGTAGAGAACCAAACTGGTAGAAAAATCGAATACCTGAGGTCAGACAATGGTATGGAATACAAGAATTCACAGTTTCAGAAGTTTTGTGAGGAACATGGTATTCAGAGGCACTTTTAAGTGAAGAAGACTCCTCAGCAGAATGGTGTTGCAGAGAGGATGAATAGAACTCTTACAAAGAGGGCCAGATTTATGAGACTGAATGTTGGTCTTTCCAAAGGATTTTGGGCAGAGGCATTTAGTATGACATGCTATGTAACACCCCAAATTTTAATCTTTAAAAATATAGTATCAGTCTTGGAAGCCTCGCTTGATCGAGAGATCCTCGCCTGAGCGAAAAAGGATCAGCTGGGAGGGATACTGGAGGATTCTTCCCTGGGCGAGAAATGGCAATTTTGGGCTGTTGACACAGTGTAATCGATTACACTCTGCTGGTAATCGATTACACTCTGCTAGTAATCGATTACATCTGCTGGTAATCCATTACATCGTATTAAAAGCATCAGATATGTGCATCTGACACAGTGTAATCGATTACACATTTCTGGTAATCGATTACACATTGCTGGTAATCGATTACACATTTCCGGTAATCGATTACACATCGCTTGTAATCGATTACACATTTCTGGTAATCGATTACACATTGCTGGTAATCGATTACACATTTCTGGTAATCGATTACATCGTATTAAAAGCATCAGATATGCGCATTTTTCACGTTGTAATCGATTACACCATGTTGGTAATCGATTACAACCCGACGACACCTCTTTAAAACAGAAACCAAACACATTTTAAGGTTAAAAACTTTGAAGGGAGGTGAGAGAAGAGAGCTTTTCCAAGGGCAAGGAGTTTTGATACTCACCTAAGAGCTTGAGAAGAGGTAAAACTCTTGATTCTAACTCTCTTAAACTCATTTTGGGTATGTTGGATCTCTTCTCCAAATGTGAGAAACCATGGAAACTCATCCTTTGGAGTTATGGTTCGTTTTATGTGTTTTTATCTTGTAAATTCTTAGTTTAGAGTTAGTATTTCGAGAATGGAAAAGGTTTGTGGGTTGATTCATGAAAACCCCAAAACCCTAAAGGGATAATGTGGTTAAAGTGGAAAATGGGTAAAATGCTAAAGGTAGAAAATGAGTTTACGTTCTAATGTTGAAATATGAGATGGATATGTATGTTTTAGATGGTTGTAAACTTATGATGAAAATAGTTTAGCAACATTGAAAATATGATGAATATCTTGTATGGTTAAATAATGCAATATAAGTTGTTTATGTGATATTTGGAATAAATGACTAACATTGTGTTATATGGTGGGATGAGGAAAGATCCTAAAGTTGGAGGCGGTGTCGGTGGAACTTGAGAAGTTGTCAAGAACCAAACCCAACACTCACCAAGGTAAGGATAAGTCTTTAATTGAGCATTTGGAATCGAAAATGTGAGTTTTCTGATTATGCAATGATTGATACGTAAAGTACGCATTTGATATAAACATATATGGGTGTGTTTACGTTAAAGCAGGCGTAGATTTACGGAAAGGAAAGTATGTGGTACTTTCTGATTATGCGATGATTGAGTGTAAATCACGTATTTAGTATAAACATATATGGGTGTGTTTATACTAATGTGGGCGTGGATTTACCGGAAATGATTTATGGTGAAACGAATGAAAAAGAAGTACATTTTTAGCCGACCATGAATGGTTAGCGACTCTGGCTTGAGTATAGAAGCATACACTCTGGCTTGAGTATAGAAGCATACACTCTGGCTTGAGTATAGAAGCATGAAAATGATTTATGAGGAGATCGATGAAAGTAAAATATGTTTTAGCCGACCATGAATGGTTAGCGACTCTGGCTTGAGTATAGAAGCGTAAACTCTGGCTTGAGTATAGAAGCATACACTCTGGCTTGAGTATAGAAGCATACACTCTGGCTTGAGTATAGAAGCATACACTCTGGCTTGAGTATAGAAGCATACACTCTGGCTTGAGTATAGAAGCATACACTCTGGCTTGAGTATAGAAGCATGAAAATGATTTATGAGAAACGAGAATGAATGGTTAGCGACTCTGGCTTGAGTATAGAAGCGT